TTGGAGGACGTTGAAACCTGTACTTATCTAGGCAGCATCATTAACGAGCACAGTGGATCCGATAGAGATTTAGATACGCGGTTCGGCAGGCAAGGGCTGCATTTCTACAACTGAATACCATCTGGAACTCCAAACAGCCATCAATCAACGCCAAAATCAGTATTTTCAATACAAGTGTCGGAACAAACTCTGGGGCAGAAACGTGAAAAACTAATAATGCCACTATGCAGAAGTTAAAAATTTTCATGAACAGTTGCTTAAGCAAAATACTGATTGTTCGTTGACCAGACACCATCAGCAACAATTTTACGGTGTGAGAGAACAAACTAGAATGCAATGAAAGAGGAAATCAAAAAGATGCAGTGGACGTGGATAGGACATACATTGAGGAAAGGGTCCAAATGCGCCATGTGACAAGTCCTCATTTGGAATCCTCAGGTGAAGGGAAAAGAGTAAGGTCAAGAAACACATTACGCCGGAAATTGAGAGATATGAGAAGAATTATTGGGAATTGTACAGAACTGGAAAAGGAAGCCTGGCAAAGAGTTGCTTAGAGAATAGTTGTCGGTGTCCTTTGATCCATTAAGGGTAACAGGTATCATTAGGTAAGTAGAACTTGTTTACTCTGAAATCTCTTTACTTCATCCTACCACAGGAGGCTTCAAATGGTCATATTAACGACCTCTACCCAATATATACGAACCTGGAACCTTCAGTCTGCAGAGTATCGTCTTACCTCAGGACCACTAAGGCGGCATCCAAAAGTGGCAATGTCCTACTTTAATCTATCTAACGCAGTGATTCAACAATAACGGATTCGTGATTCCAATTTAGCTCGCATCCTTTTTAACTGTATATTGAAAAACTGTGAACAGCTCATTACACTGTATTGAGTGCTTAAATCATGTCAAAGCTATTTTCCGATACATTATTTAACAATAAACAAAATGGGTTCGATTTGAAAATTTTCATTAGTTATAACTCAAATACCAGCTAATTCCAGGGTGATCGCTTTGCATAAAAAGTGCAATAAACAATAAATCCTCCATATTCTTATTGAGTAACAGGAAAACACGGTGTTCACAGTGTTAGATGAACCAAACTAGTTGTCCTCTTGAGCAATCTGTAAATCATACTTCAATGCATCTGAGGTCAATCAGAATTTCATATTTATCCCCATGTGACTATGTTTGATCAATACTGTTTGTAATCACTATTTAATAATTACGCATTACGAAAATATGCAACACTAATTTAAAAATAGTTATATGTACCGAATGAGTTTTTAATTGAATTATAACTAATGGAAAAAGTGCATAACCAACTGGAGTACTGACTAAAATATGAGTAGCTATTTTCATGTGAAATAAATTTTTCTACATAATGTAAACATAAAACGATAATGAATTCTGGTATTTATTATATTCTCTGTTTGAGTAAAAATAAATGGGCAATGATATGCCAATGCAAATGAACGAAGTTAATGTTTTTGAGGAAATATTGCGATTAACGCGAGGGCGAATTTGCAAGGCTATCAAAAAACTAACTAATCGTGTAATTAGTAGCAGCTCGATGCAGTAAAAATTGTGTGTTGAAAATTCTCATCTTAATGTTGACTTGCAGTTATTTATACCTGCAGATATTTTTCAAATCTGGCGAATGCTACCCTTTTTTTTGTCAATCTGCGTCTTCGTATCTTTCCCGAATGGTACTGCTCAGGTGTGTAAACGTTTCAACATCATCCTCTGCTTCACCATTAGGTGCGATCTAGCTGATTCCCTCATTGGCGTATTGAAGGTAATGCGTTTTATTCAACTCATGCTGAGACCTACTTCTGCAGAAGCTGCTGTTACACTGGACGTCTGCGCTTGCATATAATGTTGGAAGTTTCAACTCATCTTCAAAGTTCAACCGGTCTAGTTGCACACAACAAATCACCTCTAACTTATGCTTCAATTCACATGTGGTCTTGATAATCACAACCAGTATAAAGAGGACATACGAGTGTAACTGATCTTGTCTGACAAAATCATCACTTCAAACGCATCCACAAGCCAGTTTTCATGAACAACACGCAAACATTTCGATGTTTCTGTCACGACTTTTATTCTGATAAGTTAAATCTTTAAATCAACGCTGTTAACTTCATAGTGACTTTGATACGTTACTTCTGATTTTTAAGATGAATAAATTGAAATAAGTTATAAGTTGTCTGGTCATTAATCTAGCATTCTATTAGCATGTTCGGAAATTGGTCAGTGAAAATTGTAGAATCTATTTTGAATGTTTTGTTTTTTTGAAAAATCCCTCCATGTATATATATTTGTGTTATGATATGACTGACTGTTTCTGTTGACATTTTGGTACTCAATTTGATTCCATTTTGAGTTTTTATCATTGTATATTGTTATTATTTCTATATCTTGTACTTATATTCAAGTTTTTATGTTTGCTCCTGAACTGTACATATGTTGTTTTAATTTGATATTTAATATGGCTACAGCCATATTTGGATTTGATACTTCAACTGTACGGACTGGAAGCACTTATTCTTCCAGAAACGGATACCCACCGCGGTAAATTGGAACTAGAAGTTATAATATTGTTTGGTAATTGTCTGTATTTCCATTTTTATTGATTAACAGGACCGTTTTCTCTCGGAATTATTGTGTTTTGGTTTCGGATGAGTCCAGTGTCCGATTTTTAGTCGATACGTTTCAATTGAACAAATGATTAGTTAATATAATTCAGAAAAACACCGTAAAAAAGCAGTCCTTTATATTTTACACAGTAAGTACTGCATAACCACGTAGGTGACGTTTGAACTGGAATCCAATTGTTTTAATCCACGCTAATCTCTTTGAAACGCATGTATGTTTACTGCGAGTTCGCATTATAGAGTTGTGAAGATAGATGGGTTTCATTCAAATCATGTTGTACCTAATGCTAAATCATTTTAGGGAAACTTGGAAGCTGGTAAATTATATAACAAGAACGGATCAAGCGTCAGTGATCGATATTCAGTCAGTAGAATTTCATTTTCGTTGCTGAATGTACTCAGTATACATATACAGATACTCTGTTTCTTTTATGCTCTAAACTAAATCTAGAGAATTTTAAAGTTGTTTTCTTGTAGGTCCTATTGAGAAATGCATCTCATTTGAACAATGAACTCTTCTTTTAGTTTCTGTTAGATAATGAACCTTTCACACTGTCAACAATACTGTCGATATTGAGAAACTCAAAATTAAATCCAATGTATTCTTTTTACGTGACTGTTATGCTGTTGAATGTGTGTAGAATGATTGGTTTTGTTTCTCAACTTTGATTCGCCATTCCGATCATAAGTGCTTTTATTCTATCAGAAAATATGAGGCATAATATTGCATCTAAGGCTTCATTTATTGGCCAAACTCTGTATTTTTAAAATTTATGTAGACTATTAAAGCAGCAGAAGGCGCAGAATCAGAAGGGAATGAGGACGATTCTCTGATGCAACGTAACATACTGGAATCAAATCACACTATATTCTGAAGCTTAGTAATTTGTTAACAACTTAACGTATTAGAACAGCATGTTATATGAGCGCAATGAAATTGATACTGATGTGATCGGCAAAGCAAGAGAAGAGTTTCTTCAATTGAAGCATATCTGTAAGTCAAAACAACCATAAACCAATACAGAAGTCAGAATTTTCAAAACAAATTTCAGGATTGTTCTACTGTATGTGGTGAAAACTTCGGAAAATACCAGAGCCGTCAGCTAGAAGATACTGGTGGTTATCGGCAGTTTTATACTCAAAGTATGTCGGATTCGTTGGTTAGACATTATCAGCAAGAAACTATTTTGAGAGAGAAAAAACCAGATTCCTGTGAAGAAAGGATTCAGGAAGAAGCAGTGGAGGCGATTAGGTATATGTAGGAAAGCACCATATTGCATCAAAGGTCGATCGCTCATTTGAAGTCTTCATGGACAGTGAAAAGTTCAGCTTTGATCAGAAAAGTATTTTAGATAACATAAATTTCTTGAAAATTCTTGAAATCTCGACATCGCATTGGTCACAATAGCTTGCTGAGGAAATTTATTTGTTGCTGCTAGCTTTACTCACATACCTAACCGATAATAAAATGCTTTTACGTGGCTGCTTCTGGATTTCCAGCTTACGGAGAGATCAATGTGAGGAAAACGGATAATCTGTATAGTTTATGAACTGACATATGGCCACGAAGTTTAAAAATTATCAGATGGGTGAACATGAGATCCATAATCATGTGATAATTATTTAAGGTGATGAAGCTAGTAAGATATATTTCCGACGAATAAGCAGGCTAACTGCAAGAAAATTCCAGGCGTAAAACTACAGACTGTCCTTACAAATGATATTGAGGAGAAAGTTAGATTGATCGAGGTTTTAGCGGCTTACAACTTTCTGTTCGTGATCTGCTTTCAGCGTAACGAAGTAAATGAATAGTGAAGGCTGCGAACAGATACAAATTGAGATAGTTAGTACAAACTACTCAAACCATCGACATAAGTAATTGTATGTATTTATTCGCGTCAGTAGATGTTTTCCAAATTCGGTTTGACTCGATTTCTTTTCAAACAGCAGAAGCAGTAGTCGAAATAGATTGCATTAGAAGTGACCGATAGAAATTTCTCACATTTTAAATTACTCAGTGCACAGTTGTTCATATATGAGGAACATTTCATATGATGTAACACCAAATAAGTAATTCAAGGGATGTTGATAGAATAAGAAATAGAAACAAACACGCTCAAATGTACATGCAATTAGTTTGTGATGTCACTTATCGATATAGTTCCATCAACCGTTTTCCTAATGTGTGCACAAATAGTTAATTTTCTGAAAAAATACTCGAGAAGATATGATAAACCATATTTGCAAGTATTGCAAATTTATTTTGTTAATTGATTGATCATTGAACGTTTTTTTTATTATTTACAAATGATACATAAAATCAATTATGAAGATGTGTCACCGAAAAGGCGAAAATGAGGACAGCAGTACTGTTAAAGTTTCATTTTATTTCATTGGTAGATAGTCTGAAAGCAAACAGAATAAAATACAATGAGGATTCGTGTAATACAGGCAGTTGTTCCCAATTATAAATAACATGTCAAACTTTAAATTTAATATGAATACAAATCAAAATGAACAGCTGACAATATGAACGCTGCATTCTCACTCATCTATGTGAAACGTGTTGTTGAAATGTATGAAGCATTGATAAGATTGTTGATGTTTCTGCCAATGAATATCATTGTTTCAAGAAGTATTTAGAATTCACTGATCACTTGTGAATGAATAAACTGTGATTAGGATTTTTAATATAAAAGCCTAGAATGAAACGATAACTAACTTGGATACTTTGTTATGTTCATTTGTCTAGCGACTTCTACAAGTACTTGATATTCAACTGTAGAAAGAAAAAAGAAAACATTGAATTTCAGCGCGCTCATTTCTAAATAAAACATGACATTAACTTTGACTATCTAAGCATAATTCGGTCGGCTATCAAGGTGACCTCATCAATCTATACTGGTCACAGTGTTGTTTTTCACAATGAATTTCTCAAAATGCAGTTGTAAAAATTCTTAATACATTGATTAGTATTCATATCTTACTTACAGAAATGCACACTATAATTACGAACATGTGAAATTTTCTCTTCTATAAATGTATTGTGCAAACTGTTGTCAACTGAAAAAAAAGAAAGAATAAAACCATATCAACCTTTTATGAATTTCAAAGATCACTTTACAACTTATTAGGAATAGAGTAGCCCTAATCAAAAAGAAAATCTGTTGTGAATCAGTGAATCAAATATAAATGTGCCCATTCACAAGTTTATCTATTTTCAACACAGAATATTTCTTTTACTTGAGAATCCTTACTTTCTGAGTAGCGGGTGTCTTAATTGACAACATTGATCAGTTTAATTTTAGTTTTATAAGACTAATGAAGAATATGTTATTATTCGTCGAAATCAATGAAATGGTGAATATTCTGACTAACACTAATATCGTCATTGTTTTGATAATTTTATTTTTCACATTTTCGAAACCATGAATCGATCAATGTTAGACCATCATTAGAAACCTGGAAGCACTTGACGGCCGTTTCGTCCTGGTATAGGACTCATCAGTGGCATTGCGCATCTACGACTTCTGCACCCCGCGGGATTTGAACCCAGGACTTTCGGTATTGTGCGCAAACGCCTAATCTCTGGACAATTGAGCCGGTATTTAACGGTGTTATTGTCTAGCTTGATGCATTCACAGAGTTGCGCAACCTCATACACAGTCTTCTCTAATTACTGTCTACGCCTGAACAGGTTGAATTTCACTGGTCACGACTTCTCACTAGAACTCAAGGAGGATTCCCTCACGTAGCTAGTCACTAGTGAGCACTGGTAATTTGCTCTACAGGGTTATAAAGATTATTAAGTTACAAAATTTATAAACCATGAATGCGCACTGCTGATTAGTCTCATACCAGGACGAAACGGCCGTCCAGTGCTTCCAGGTTTCCACTGGTAGTCTAACATCGATAGATTCATGGTTTTAAAAATGTGTAACCCTAACGATATTCACAACCCCGTTTTGCAAAATTTTATTTTTATCATGAGTTGTTTGGAAAATATCAATATATATATATATATATATATTCAATGTTTAATAATAAATACCTATTGAATGCTTAGGTTTGAAGCCATTGCAAATTCTCTCATTGAATGTTCTTTTCATGCCTTTATATGTATGTAAAGAAAGTGAACGTAAATTACTTCTGGTTGCTTCGATTTTTATTCAAAATTTTTATCTTTCAGCAAAATGATACTGATGTTATTAATTCTAATCTTCTACCGTTTTTGAACATTTCAATTATTTTTTTCCTCTTTGACAATAGAACTCAATCAACGCTTTTATTTCTTGTTATTTGTACTTGAACTGTGTCGAACTAGTTGATGTAGTTAACTACAACAGTCCAGCTACCAAACTCTTAGTACATTATCAATGTTTTTGATTAAACAGAAAGATATTTCTTTCTATGCAGTTGAGTAAATCAGTTGATTCAAGTATATACATGTACTACTTAAATAATTCAGTAATCTTACCTTTCTTAGCGTTGTTTTTTTGACGGAAACAAGCTAACAGAGTATTAGATTTGTTGAAATTGTAGTCTATATTAGTGAAAATAAAATTGAATAAAGATGAAGTCAAACAATGTGAGCATTTTTTGTCTAGCATAAGATAAAATTCTATGAATTGTTCGACTATATACAAAGATAATTTGTGATGTCTGTCAAACTTCATGTATTGGCAAATGAAATGTCAGTCAAGAATACGTACTTTTAAATGTTCGACTGTGTTTATGAAGTGTGCTCTTTAGATCTAGAAGTTTCAAGATACAAATAAGAGAACAAGCGTCAATACATGAAATGCGAATGTTTCCATATGGAATACATTGTAAACGAAGATCTCATCATCTCACTCATTCGATGTAACTTCATAAATAGAATTATGAGAAAAATTACAGTATCACCAGTAGATGGTAGTACTCAGAGAAAATGCATTCAAAAAATTGGCTTTTCCAATAAAGTTCGTAGCATCTTTGATATCGTGTGATATTTCAAACAAGAAACATCATCAAGCTTAGTCTTGTCTTGCTGATTCGTTAATCTATCTATGTTCATGTCTATTTATATACACCTGAATGGAAATTTTGAGAGGGAATTGAAAAGTAGTATGTTCTCACAATACTTCTCAATCATCTTCATGCTTAGAAAACGTTTCCTAAAATTGTTTTTATTTTACGTTCTAAGTATAATAGTGAATAGATGACAACAGTGATTTCAGTGATGAATTGATCTTGTTATTGATCAACACAAATAATGTACACGCCTAAAATGGCTGTCAACCAACATTCATATACACAAGTTGAAGTTATTTTGAATAAAATTGAATAATTTATCAGTCAATATGAAATCAATATTGAAAACTCTGTCAAATCTCTTACCTCCTAATAGCCCTGTTTCTTTTTTAAATTCGTACATTTTACTAACACAATGCGTATCTACAATGAAAGTTGTGATTTAAATAACACAAATGATTATCCCACATACATGAATCGATTCGATTTTTTTTCTGGTGTAGTTGTATCATTCCATTAATTCGTCCTAGTAAAACAAAAAAAGACAAAAAATAAAAAACCAAACATTTTTATAATCAAGAAAGGAAAAATAGTGGTTTGATTGATTTTCTCAGCTTGTTAAAACAACTGTTTCGATAGTGGAAGTCCAAGCAAGAGTGAGGCGGTTATCCACAGTTTCCCTAATTTTCAATGATTGTCTATTTGTAACCATGAATCGATCAATCTTGGAACACCATTAGAAACCTGGAAGCACTGGACGGCCGTTTCGTCCTCGTATGGCACTCATCAGCAGTGCGCATCCACGAATCCCGCACCCTGCAGGATTCGAACCCACGACCTTCGGTATTGTGCGCGAACGCCCTGACCGTCAGACGACTGATGGTTACAAATAAAACTTAACAATCTTCACAACAACCCCGCAATGCAATGATTGTCTTGCTAACCATAGAAATAAATTGTCAATTTATTTATCACATCTCTGTCAACTATTAATATTTACATTCATTTATAATGAATAGAAACGAATTGAACAGTAAATAGTAAATGTTATTACAATAGTTGTTCCTTTTCATAGTGTACATTGATGATCAACTGTGTTTTTCATTTAGATGAATAAACATGCATTACTTCCGACTACATTTAATCGGAAGTTTACATTTCCAATATTGTAAACCTTTTATTTTGAGAGTGACTTGATGATTCACGACAACATTTTATTTGATATGTACTCAATTTGATTGTATGCCACAAATAAACTGTATGTCACTGCACTAATTACTACGATATTCGTAGTTATCAAAAGAGTCAATGTAGAATTCGATACTTCTTTGGTAAATTATATTGTATTGAAATGATCAATGACATTTACCAATGAATTTACCTCTGTTTACTTTTAACTGGATCATAGATTTTCGAATTTTCTTTCCTAACTCATTCAACTTGCCTAGATTGTGAACAGAATGGTTTATATAAGTTTTGTTAGGTTTCTTTTGAATAAATTGTGTACACGATCAATAAATAGTTCACTCTTTGAATTAGTTACTAATGAAAGTCACATTCAACAAAATAAGTGAGTCAATAATGTCAACACTATCTCATTCAGAGTTCACCAGAACAGGAGTGTGTGATATGTATGTAGCATATTCGTATACAGTCAGTGAGTATGATTTAAACAAGATCACATTTTTGTCATCAAGATAATTTGATTTGTTTTAATATATTGTATATAAATATATATATAAATATACATGACTTTTAGACAGACATCAACTTCCTCCATGGATAAGTAAACCTAATGAACATGCGAGCTTGTAATGAGGCCAGATTCATCACCTTACACGAAGTTCGGATATACGGCTAATTCTTCGAAAATGTATAAATGTGATTATTGATTATTATTGATTAGTTTGAAAATAATGCACTGAAAATTTCCAGACATTAATTCAGTTACAGCTAATTAAAATTACCTATGGTTTCTTCTATTAAATCTTCAATAGATTTTTCTTCAGTGACCTCTTCAAATCGAAATAATAAAAAGAAAATTGTTTTTTTTTCAAAATGGCAATCAGATACTAAAGTGATAGGCTTCAATCGATCAATATGACTGAACAATGTTTATCAATAGCAAGACAGATTCAATCCGTTTTGTTGGAAACAAAAAAACATTTTATTTGATTGAAAATAATCTGTTATTACACAAATTTGTGATAAGGGTTTATCTAATGGATATGTCTTATTATTGTTGTCCACCGAGTGCATAATGGTATCGAGTGTATTCAAAAAATGTTTTCTTTATATTATGCTTGTGCGATGGACACAATTGTTTTTTTTTTATTAGACAAGGATGAAATGATGATAAAAATTTGACATTTCAAATAAAAACGTAATCGATGTTTTATTAAAGTGTTCTCAGTAATTCGGAAAATGGTATTCTCGATATGTCATCGCATACTGTGGAATTAAAACCAGGTGAACGTGTTAACGGCTAATAAAAAGTTTTCTGTTTCAAACTATCACGCGATTCATAGTTGAATAGAGAAATGAAGAAATAACGAATATCAATAAAAAAACAAGCCAAATTAGAAAATAAACAGTTCATTTATAAATGCACGTGACTTACCAGTAGATGCAGACAAGTGACAAGTTAGAATGAACACGTTAATAAATAATATTGATAATGTATACATTTTTCAATGAAATTGACTTCTCTATTGCTGTGCTTTTATATCATCAGTGAACAATGTTGATTGACCATTGGACATTGAACACTGGAATAAATGAAAATGATTTGATGAGATGAAGTTTAATTTTTATAGGTGGTTGTAAAGACCAACCCTAACTAATTAATCTGTAATGATCTACCGCTACACCGAACAAACCATTGCCAAATCATATGACCATCTTTGACGAGAAAAACTGCATGCGTGATATGCGATAGATGTGATATTGAATTTTGTTTGTTTAAGAAGTACAATCCAATGTGTAAAGTACATAGTAGGTATTGTGTTGAAGGTAACTACTTTCGTATCATTTAAATTGTGATTTCGATGTTATTATATGTGAAATTGTGTTGATTATCACATTTAGATCAACTGTCGTAATTATTTGAATGTTGTGATGATGTAATCAGCGTTCACTTATCGAATAGATGTATGCTGATATGTATATCATAGATTTTCACTCGTTAAGAAACCTTTTTTCTTCAAACTGAACTTATCTGTTATTATGGTGAACTGAATGGTCACCATCTTTTGTTTGACAGAAATCCCCCAGTTACCTAATGATGAAAATGGAATAGTTTATGAAACTTCCAGAATGATCAATATAATTTTCACCACTGGATGACTGATCGTCAGCATACATATTAGAGTTTCACATGCTCAAACTTTCCGTTCGTTCATTTTACGGCCTAGAATTATTGCATTTCATAAATAAATACTATAAATAAATAAATACTATACACTGTTGATTAGTTGATTGAGAGTGAGAAGCAGAGCACCAGTATTCTCCATCTGTTCTCGCCGAATGGAAGTTGATGGAATCAGTGATTATCCGTAATGTATTATCATTGAATATTGCGAATGAATTTCAATTAATGCACACACAACATAAATAGATGCGCATATTCAACACAGCAAAAGGGTTGCTCATTCATTTCGTTGATATATAACCGAAAGAATACACAAAGTTTGCTCAGTTTTCAGTGTGAAATTCACCGACTCACTGTGTTACGCATTACGACACGAACATTCGTCATTGATGTGTTAATAACTAAACTCGTAGACTAACACACGCTCAAACAGAATGTGATATCGAAGAGTTATAGAAGTGACTGGAGATATGTTTTGCGTCATATGAAATACTTTTAGTTTTCTGTCGATCTTTTCATATCAATGATGGTGATGTTGATGTTGACATCTAAACTAAACCTATCCCTGTAAGATTGTCAGTTTGAACAGATCAGTCAGAATAGTTGTTTCACTGCTCCCATTGCGATCATTATAGTCATCTATTTCAACATCAGCGAACCATTGTCTTCGAATGGTGTTCCGCAATGAATATCGGAGGTTAGTTGTTATATGAGATTTCGGGATTCGCAGAAAATTTACTGGTGTTTAGTGGTGTTTCATCACATAAACAAGTGAACGTTACGTTATTCCGCAATCACACCAAACACATCTCACTCGTTCTTATTTTCAATGTTTTTAGGTGAACTTTGTTTTTAATTAGAAACTTTATTGATCCAAAGTGAGACAGATTGTTTCATCGAGTGTAGTTAAACTGAGAATGCTTGTTGCAGTATAATAAGACAGATATTTCATAGAAATCATAACATATATCTACACTTTGAAATTTTCACCACACTACTGAAATCTGAGGTGAGCGTTTTGAGATGAGTGAGAAGTCGCACAAATTGTAAATTGTAGTGCGATTGCTGTCTTCCTTAGAGCAGTTCTAGTGATTGAGATACGCGTCTTCAGTGGTATATGAAGGCGAACGCAATTTATCTGTGGATGAATGGGTCCTATTTTTCAATAATATTTACAGATCATTGCCTAAATAATGGTAAACCGTTTCACCTTCTCAGCTGAGCTTTTCGAAATGACTGACAAAATGCACTGGGCAATGTATATTTCTCGTGATCAGCAATTTGATTTTCACAAGAGACGAAATCAGGATATTTCATGATTGACTGAACAGTGCTCTTAATCCCCACTAGTTTGGTCAGGTCTGCGCTACGTATCATTCTACAAAACTATGGACTCATCAACATGACTGACACTGAGAAGCAGAACAACAGTGATTATTCGTAATGTATTTTCATTGAATATCTCAAATGAACTCCGTCGTTTGCTCGTGCTCTCTTCATGTATTCGTTCGTCATCATTTTATTTCGGTCTTTGTTTCTTTACATCTCTCCTTTTGTATCTCTTTCAATTTTTTTCATCTTTTTGTTCACGAGTCTTTTATTTTATCTTGAGATTATATTTCTATTCGTTAAATATATGTTGATCATATGTTATGGATTATTTCAGTACTCTATTTGTCTACCTTGCACAATGGCTTGTCTGTTATGTATGAATAAGCTCGATTCGTGTGATTGTCTACCTCCAGTTTTCTGGGTGCTGTCGGGATATACTTTCTTCGTCTAAACACTTCTTATCGCAACAGTCAGCTTGGCTAGAAATAAACGATTCAGAATTGCTTTTCGAACCACCTTCTCATTGCTTCGCTCTTTTTCATCGAATAGGGTAACTGGTCACACTTTCAAGCATAGGAATTGACGAGCATATCGAATGGTGATGATAGTTTCGGAAATATGCATCATTCGAAACTTGAATTGTTAGTTGAGCAGCATCTTGAACGTGACACGACTTTTGTTCAGAGTGGTTGAGCTAGTCAGTTTGAATTACGTGTAGTGCAATTGTCACCTAATCAGAATAAATGTCCGTTAAACTTCACCCAGTCCGCCTACCTCGAGGTCAGTTCGACAGACATAGACGAACTTCTCAGCCCTCTGCTTTTACAGTGCTGCATGGCTCAAACCTCCAGCAGACAACACAAAAGCCTCGTACTTTATGTGATACTTAAATTCTCAAGTAAGTACAATTGGTAAATCAAGTTATTTTCCGAGATTACTCATTTATTATTATTTAATCGAAATCTACAGATAATTAATTTAACAATATCAGGCTGTTCATCACCTACCAGGTCAGCATTCGATTGGATCGACAAGATTACACTACGGAGGATTCCCAGACACAACAAACTGAGTGAGAAGATGGTCAACAACCAACAAAAATCTTATGAAGTAGTAAATAAAAAAGAAAAAGTCCCATTCTATGTGCATTTCAGTTCCAGTCAAACGTTTTATCTCTTAACCTTTCTCCCTAGCGATCGAATGGATTGTGAATATGGCAGCATAGGGGAGAGCACGGAATACGATTGACATCTGTGATGATGATGGATGATCAAGAATTCGCAGATGATCTGACCATTCCATCATGCACGCGAGAGAAAATGCAAGACAACATCGACAGTGTAGCAGCAGCCCCGGAGGCAGTTTGTCACAACAAGAGAGAGGAAGAACGAAATATTCTACAACACAACACAACAAACACCAATCAGATCATTATTGACGGAGAAGTTTGTCAACCGCATTATTGTTAGGTACAGTGGATGTGATGCAAATATGAATGTGCGTATCGGCAAAGCAGTGAGGACATTTCTAAAATTTATGAACATCAAGAACTCAAAAGAATCATCAACCAACACCAAAGTCACAATTTTCAATACAATTGTCAAGACAATTCTAATGTATCAAGCAGAAACGTCGAGAACTGCATAAGACATCACATCGAAGATTGTTATTGGCAATCAACAGTTTTCTAAGCAACAAAGAAGAAAAATTTGATTTCACTAGAAAGAAAAGCACTGGATGGATTAGGTAGGACAATGCATGTGTCTAGCCTATGCTTTGTTAGGCCTAACAGGCGTAAGTAGCGAAGAAATTTGACGATGATAAGGTTGCTGCTTTTTAGAATAGGCTCTGATCAAGCTGACTAATCCTCATTGTGTATCTTGAGAAATCTTCTATGAACACATTTCGATAAGATCTGATCTCACATAGATTTTCATGTCATGAGCGACAACCAATTAGGGATGATGAAGCTAGTGAGATGATAGTCTGAAGATTGTGTAGGCTAATCGAAAGACATTTCATGGCCTACAATCCAAATTGAGTGTTTTCAATGGTTACCTAGGAGCAGGTGAAATTAGTCGAGGTTCTAGCAGAGTACATCTTTTGCAGAGTGATTAGTTAACAACACGGTTAAACAAATAGTTAAGGTAGGCTGTAAAAATCTAATTATTCAGCCACGTATTGCAAACTGGTCATGGGTATTAAGATAATAATTCCGTGTGCAAATAAGTACTTTTCACCTCTATTCTTACCGAGACCAACACAAAGTACGATAAAACATTGATTATCTTAACTATAGATTGACCCAGTTGCAACAATATACATCCAACTTTACCTAGTCAAATATATTTGTCTTCGTTATCTGCATTGAAAAATTTGTGAAATAATATTGATGCAGAAGAATATAAATTTACTATATTTCACAAGGTTGGCATCAGCTGCTTACAACCTCTCATAGTATAGACGCAAATTTAGCATCTGAATAGTCATGAAATGTAATGAATGATAATGTGTATTCCAGAGTTGCTAAGTTAGATTTATCTTGACTCCGTTATGATCTTACAAATATTTTACTTTTATGCACTTAGTTTTATTTTACACTGTTAATTTTATCAACTTGATCACTTCATTGAAAACGTGACTGTCTCCTGATATATATATCAGTGTGTCAATTTGCAAGATAGGCATGTTATTATCACATGGTATCGTAGTTGACGATTATTTCTGTGAGTGTTTATCATAATCACAGTTATGCTCAACAAGTCATGATGTCGTCAAATCACAGTGTTGAGGACTATGGGTGAATACTTTGAAAGTTCTGCAATAGCAGTTTTATTCTAACCTGAGTGTTGTACTTTACAGTTGACATTCATTGAAATTCATTTCGATTAAAAAATTTTATCATTGTTCTCACTCGAAAAATATAATTTGTAACGCTATCGTTGCAGTGTACTCAGAATTTGGTTTGTATATCAACCGATAATCAAGAGTTTGTATTGATTCATTATTAAAGAAATGTAAGCATTAATCGTGCATATAATGCATTTCATCAATTGTAAACGCTGCAGTGTATTGATACTCGCCCTGCCCAGATATCCATAAAAGAATGCAATTTATCTGGGTAAGAAACGGTTTCTATTATTTAATCGAAATTTCCAGATCAATAACTAAACAATATTACACTGTTTTGCGTCAAAAATAGCACAATGTGTTTTCCATTCTGGAAGAATGCTTCCGTAATGATTCGAAATGCACCCTTCCAGTGAAGATGCACGTTTCACCCTGCAAAGCATGAAAACCGATATGGCTGTAGCCATAATAAGGTTTCAACTTAAATAACATAATACAGTTCAGTAGAAAACATTGAAACTCCAATACACGTACAAAAATCAGAAACTATAAGAAAATACAAATAATAAAATCACAAAATTCGATGAAACAGAGTACCAAAATACTGAACGGAAAGTGTCAGTATGAACATATTACGAATGTGTGGATGAACGAATTTTCTCTGAACAAAGCCTTCGAAATCGATTCTACATCAGATGTTTCTATCTTGTTTCGAGAGAATGTTATGATTTTCATGATAGGTACAACCGTAATAACCTGACATTTTCCTGTTTTACCCTGGCACTCCGCATTGATGAAAATCAATACAAGC